CCACATGTAAGCATAAACTTTAATTCATACCAGAATCTTGAACATGATAATCTTACATATAATTGTCATATAAAACATACTTGAAGCAGAATCCATTATCGTGAAGCGGAAGCATTAATCAGTAAATTGGTTTCTAGCTCCTTGCCCTAACTTTAGGTTACCGCCGCCTTTAGTGATGGAAGAAAGAAATAAAATACAGTAACCTTAATGGGTGGGGAAAGGACCAGTTTATAGAGGTTCTTATTTAATCCGATACGTCTATCAAGTAACTGATCGGACGAATGAGATTTGCCCATTAATTAATTATGGGCCTTAAACTTATTGGGCCACCAATGAATTTACGTAAGAAAATCTTACATATAACCCCAATTATTGCATGGCATTTAGCTACTAATTCTATTTTCTGCTAGTTTTATAATGTGACAAGCCACTCAAATGGACTATCGTATTAACCCCAATAAAAAGTTGCCGAACCTCGAGCAATGAGTAGCGAACATACATATAACAGTTGGAGATCAATTGAGATAAAACTGGACTCGACTCAAACAAGGGACCTGGGTAGCTAACGGAAGTGCTTTCTCCGAGGAACTCAATAAAAACACTCTTACAGTTTGGTTTGTAAATGGATAAACTATAATAAAACTTTAATGTTTTTCACCTTTCCCTAAAGGCTAAAATCAAGGAAGCTTGGACGCTACTCACTGCGCGCATATTGATTCCCAGACACCTGACAGTACAATTCCGAATTAGATCATTTTTCTTTACAAGATTACTCCGTTGCCAATAACTGTTGCTCAACCTCACCACCTGACAGTTCTGAGATTGCCCAAAATTCCCCTAAAGTTATTGACAGCTACTCAGAAATATGATGCTAAAGGAACGTTCATCTCCAATACAGTTGTAATCACACAGCTGCTGCCTGCCAGTGTGCCTTACCTACCCCTTCCTCAATTGGGAACAAAGAGTTCTCATTGCCTATGGTGCACCCATGTCAAACTATACGCATGACAATACATGCTAGGTGAAAGGAATTGACAAACTGAAAAGAAAGTGAACCAAAATGAGCAAATAAAGAAAGAATTTTAAATTAACTAATACAAAAGGCAAATACAAACGTAATATTTGCCCTATTATAGAAAGCAAAAACAAAAAGAGATGCCTAGCTGGTAGCAGAAAGGACAGAATTTGAGTTGTCGTACGAGTTGCGGAGCTTGCAATTTACTCCATAAATTTCAACAAAGCTCTCCAGTATCTCAAACAAGACGGATTCATATGGATTGCTTCAAGTATCCATCTTATAGGACTTGTAGATGGCTCCAGATTGGATATAGCTCCAGAACCTTCTGTCAGCCGTCTAGCAAGCAAATGCATCTGGAAAAATAGTTCGGCAGGCCTACTCTCTGCAAGACATAATGAAGCCAAAGCATGAATGGGATAAGCATAATGCAGCATGTTGGATTAAGTTACAGTTCTTTATAATGCCATCTGACACTGATCCACAAATTTGGATAGTGCTCATAGTTTCCAAGCAGCAGCGAAACAATCCACCAAAGAGTAACAATACAATAATAGCTTCCTGTCTTTTTGCTACGAAGAGTAACGGTACAAATAGGTAGTCCCTGTCAGTTTCGGTCTTGTCAAAAACAAAGAGCCTTGAAGAGCACTATGATCTACTGAGGTATTAAGTGCACCACAATTAGAAACATGCTTTAATGGAAGCGCAAGATCTTAAAAAGTGTGTGTGCACATATGTAATTCAAGACAAAATAACTAAGTATAAATAACAAGTACAAGGGTAGAGCAATCTGAAAAACTACAAATAAGTGAAATAAATGAAGTAAAAACCATGTCAATCAAGTTAAAAGACCATCTTAAATTTAAATCGCTACTCAGATGTAATATTTTTTTTATATGTTAAAATTTAAAACTCTACTATCGTCATAAGATAGAAGTAAGGTCTGCGTACACTTTACCTTCCCCAGACCCCACTTGTGAGATTTCACTTGGTTTGTTGTTGTTGTAAAGGGGTGAAGCAATCTGGAGCCATCTACAAGTCCTATAAACCATCCATCTTAAAGGGGTCAAACAAGACGGATGCATATCAGATTTTCCGACCAATCTAGGAGTAGCAGAAACTTCATCCACCAAGGAGATTTCGAACTTCCATTCTCCTATATCAAGATTAATCTTACCAGGTGTTTTGGCTTCAGTGTTCCTTATGCATAGATGATTGACATGTTTTATATCTTCATCAACCCCAACATAGCCACCACAAAATTCACCAACAGTTTTAAAGGTATCTAGTGACCAAGCATGAAGCGGGATGTCGAATGCTTTGATCCATCTGAGTTCCGACCTCTTGCTTGCCAGATCTGTACCGGCCACCGGTGTCCACCACTCCAATGACAATTTTCTTCCGTTCCAATGCCTTTCACCCACATTGATGGATACTTGAAGCAATCCATATGAGATGGATACTTGAAGCAATCCAAGATCATAGCAGAGAGGTTGAAAGGGGTGATATGGAAGCTAGTGTCAGGACATCAAAATGCTTTTATCAAATCAAGGCAGATCATTGATGCAGCTCTAATAGCCAATGAAATATTAGATTGGAAGACGAAGTCTGGCAACATAGTCTACTTTTCAAACTTGACATTGAAAAGGCATTTGACCAACTCAATTGGGCGTACTTGATTA